AAGAATTGGGCACTTAACCACCCTTCCCAGCAACGGGGGGGGGGGGGGGGGGGGGGCGCCATCTGGCCACTAGACGGCGCTGTGTACCTTGTCTTTATCTCTCCCACAGCCAAAACCTGGAGCTGGGCTGGGCGTGCCCTCCCCGGCTCCTGTTCCTCCCCTCCCTTGCTTTTCTCTTTTTCCCTCTCTGTGCGTTATGTATACACAGTATATCACTTTGAAAATTTAAAAACCCCGATTCATCAATTTTTAATACACGTCACATTTACTTATTTGTTCCTCTCTCCCAACATACACACACACACACACACACACACACACACACACTTCTGTTTTTGCTGAATTATTTGCAAGTAAATGATACATCATGACATTCCACCCCTAGACACTTCAGTACACACCTCTGAACGGGAATATTATCTGTACGGGATTCTAATTTTCAATATACAACATCAATACAATGTTATCAAGTCCAAAGTTTACATACAAATATTCCCAGCTAACCCAGAATGTCCTTTATAACTATTCTGTGTCCTAATACAACACAGGGTCCTGTCAAGAATCACACCGCAAAGCCAGGCGTGGTGGTGCACACCTGTAATCCCAGCACATGGGAGGCTGAAGCAGGAGGATTATCGTGAGGTCGAGGCCAGCCTGGGCTACATAGTGAGTTCAAGGCCAGCCTGCACTACAAAGTGAGACTCTGTCTCAAAAAATCAAATCAAAACAAGACAAAAATCACACACTGTATTTAGTTGTCATGTTTCTTTACTTCTCTTCAATTTGAAGGATCCTCAAACCTTTGAATTGTTTTGACATTGGCATCGCAATTTTCAAGTAACTCCAGCTGTCTTTATAGAAAAATCCCATGATATGTATTTACTCAATTGTTTGGTAAAGTTTAGTTGATTCAAGTTAAGCATTCCTTCCGGGGTTTGTTTGGAGACGTGTCGAGTTCCTACCTACACCACCAGGGGGCGCCACACCTTAAGGTGCAGCCTCTCAGGTCCCTCCTTTGGAAGGCACATTTTACCCTTTGTGATTCACAAGCAAGCTGCAAGGTGATATTTGGGCACTGAATATTCGGTGTTCCTGTGTTTCTTCCAGTGGGTGTAACATCCAGGATCTGAGTGGTCTGAATCAATCAAACCACAACAGTGGCTGTAAAGCGGTGATTTTTCCCAAACGGCCATTCCTTCTACATTTATTGCCTGGCATTCTTTGTGCAGAAGAGCGCCCCCTTCCACGCTGAAGTGTCACCATGGACTCCTGGGTTCTTTTTTACTAAAAGTATTATAATTCATTTTATCATCATTATTATTTTTATTATTTTCTGGTACTGGGGATCAAACTTGGGACCCTGCGACTGAGAGGCAGGTGGCAGCATCACTGAGCTAAATCCCCAGACCCTTATCATTATTTCTTTTAATATCCAAAATTTGTCCAGAGGGAGCCGTGTGTGTGTGTGTGTGTGTGTGTGTGTGTCTGTGTGAGTGTGTGTCTGTGTGAGTGTGTGTGTGTCTCCTGTGTTCCTCTGACACCTCCATATCAGTGTCTGGGTGTTTCCTTACTTCTGGCAAAACAAGATGCTCCAGTCTCCATTTATACTGTTCAAACCCTGCCATTGGCTTTGGTTCCCTTTAGTGGAAAATGGGATTTAGAAACTAAGATCTGAATGTTAGGGGTACTTGTCACTTGTGAGGCAGGTGTCACTGCTTGTTGTCCTGGTGATTAGACACAGTTTTCTATTTCCCTGAGTGCATTCTGACACCCCCAATTCAAACCCAGCCACATGGGCTTCTAACCTTTCCATGATTCAGGACTGCACCACCCTTCAGATGCAAGGTGAAAAGGAAGTTTCAAAACCAAGCAGGAGGGTGGTTTTGGTTTTGATTCTGACAATGCATCTCAAGTATCTTTTCAAAGTCTTCTAAGTAAAACTCTGCAGGACAAAAGAATTTAATTGTTACTATGACATGAGCCAACAGTACAAATGACTCAGACATCCCTGGGTGATCACCTAAGATGCTGCTATCTCTAGAATGGGAATCTCCCTCCTGCCATCTCCATGTACCGGGACCTGGATCTGCAGCCTTCAGCTGCATAGGGAGGAAGCCTCCATCTTAGCTGACGTAACTAATGCCCTGTGCTCTGGACAACTCACAGCAGAAGTGACACATTCCCGCAGTCCATCCAGCTCAAGTCCCCTGTACCTCCCCACTGTGCCACGCAGACTCAGCCCAAGTTCATCTCTCCTGCTGCAGCAAGCAGCATGGCTAAACAGAAGGGCATGGCAGAGGAAAGGCCCTTACCCCTGGCAGCCAGGAAGTGGTGACCCTTCTCAGTCACAGCCAGGGACCCAGTTCCAAATGGGGCCTAACTTAGAAGTCTTATTATCAGAGGTCAGACACAAAGAAACCCAGTGGGTGTAGGACCTAGAAAGAGCTCTAGGAATGGGCAGCAGCCTCTGGTTCTTCCCCTTCCTCCTGTCTAGGGAAGTCAGGGGTACACACAGTCATTCACTTTTTCTGGTAGAATGATCACCCCAAAAGAAGCATGGGAGAGTTCCACGCAAGTTTTCTTTCTTGGCTGGGCGGTCACTGTCACACTCATGAATCCATGGAGGTCAACAAGCCCTTGAGCGAGGGCAGCCAAAGGAGCATACACACCTACACATCCACACACACCTCTTCCCTCTGAGTCCTACACTTCCTGAATCTTGGTTCTGTCTGCAGTATCTGCAGCTTTATTTCCACCCACTTCTGACAGATGGTTGATACATAGACCTCTGACCAACAAGCCCCAACAGAAGTATTAAAAAGGAGAAGTCTGAAAACACAAAGACACATTTGGAAGACTGACAAATTGCAAAAGGATGCATGCCGGACTAGATGGAGGTAGGAAAACATGTAAGACTTCTAGGTTAGATAAGAAATGTTCCCCAGAGTCTCACGAGTTTGGAAGGTGACTGGCCCCTGGGGTGCTGTATAATGAGTCTGGCAGCTGAGCGTGCTGTTAGGAGGTGGGGCCTGTTTGGAGCTGGGTCCCTGGCGGTGACCAGGAAGGGTGCACTGCTTCCTGGCTGCCAGGGGTAAGGGCCTTTCCTCTGCCGAGCTCCTTCGCCATGCTGTTTCTGCCTCGGAGCCAGCCAACCATGGACTGATTCCTCTACAAGTCAGGAGCCAGAATAAACCTCTTCTCCTGTAAGTTGTGGGTATCAAATGTTTTGTCCCAACAATGGGAAAGTGACCAATACACTGGTCTTGGGTTGGTTTGA